CCGCGGTGTCCACGGCGCTGAGACGGCCTTCGCGACCCTGGCTCCCAACCAACGCCGCGTGGTCTCTCTCCCCGACGATGTTTCCACGGCTCCCTCCGCGGGTTTTTTTGTCGTCGGTCGCGCCCGCGAGTATCTGGTAGAGGCGGAGGAGCAGATGATCAGGGCTTCTGACGATGTCGGGCTTGATCGTGAGACCCATGGTGAGATTGAGATGCACGCCGACCCGCGCTTTGCCAACAGCCGCCGCCGCTATTCCACGTTCGTGAAAGATTAGAAGCGGAGGGGGCTCGTCGGCTTCGCGCGCCGCTCCAAGGAGTTCGCCGGGGTGTTTTTTACGTGGAAGAAGGAGCGACTCTCCATGGGGATGGCGCTGGGCCTCCGCCGCTCCAACAAGCGCTTCGTAAGCCCCCCGGCTTCGAGCTACTATCGACCGAGGGCCTTGGTCGCGTCGAGTGCGAGGGCAACCCCGGCGCCACCTCGCCGCCCATCTTCTCGGGCCTGGCCGATGTCAAGGACTGCTTCCGCCGGATGAGGTTCGGGAACCACCTGTTCAATCATTTCTGCTATCCTGGTGGTTTGGCGCAAGAGTTCTGGATCGTCGGCCGCGACGTCGACGGGGCCCCCGCGCGCGCGGGCGACTGCGTCTGGCCCTGCGCGATGGCGCTCCCCACCGGCTGGACCTGGCTCCTGTGCTTCGCTCAGGTCGCCAACTTGCGGGCGGTCGAGAGCGCGCCCGCGGTAGCGACGAGCCGCGTGGCCATTGACCGAGTGCTCCCGATCGTGACCTCCTCGAAATCGGCATGGAACTTACGTCTACGTCGACGACGCGGGCCGGCCTGCTCTCCGTGGACCCCGCGCGCGCGCCGAGCGCGTTCGGCGACGCGACCGACCTTCGACGAGCTTGGGCTCGTCATGCATGACATCTCCGTGGACAGCGGGGCCGCCGAGGCGCTGGGCGCGCGGCTCGATGGCCAGCGCCGCCAGTCCACGGCGACCCACCACCGCCATTGGAAGGTTCGCCTGGCCCACCGCTGGGACCTCGTCGTTCGGCAGGCTGCTGGACGCGAGCTGAAGGCACTGCTCGGACATTGCACATTCCTTGGGATGCTGTGCCGGGAGAGCCGCTCGGTGTGGCACGCGGCCTACACGTTCACCCGTGGGAGTTACTCGGCGAAGTACGAGGTCTGGGGCTCCGTCAAGTGCGAGTTCGAGGCGTTTCTCGGCCTCGTGCCGCTGTTGCGATCTGAGTGGGATCGGCCGTGGCTGTCGCAGTTGTTATCCGCGGGCGCCAGCCCGCGCGGCCGGGGAACTCCTTCGTTCGACTTCGGACTGGCTGAGGCCAAAAAGACATGAAGAATCCCTGAACGATCGCGCTTCCGTCGTCTGGGTGGATCGCCTGCCTGTGCGAGCGCCTTCTCTGCCGCCAGCTTCACCTATTCACCCGATTCCAACGCCGCGGTGATCGACGACGGTAGAGACAGGGGCTTGCGGGGCGCTCGGGGCGCTGGCTCGCGGGAGATGCGCGATGACTTCCTTGAGATCCTTGGTGCCCTATGGCATGGGGATGGGCGGCGTCTTGGCTTGCGCGGTGAATGGGGGTCCTCGGAGAGCGCCCCTATCTTTGAGGCCCAGGTCCTGGTCAAAGCTGTCGCAGGAACATGCAACTGTGTTCCTGGTGGTCTTTACAGAGTTCTACTATTTGGAGACCGCTCTGCTGAACTTGAGGAGTCATCTCCATTGCTTGCGCAAACATCCCGCCCACCCACCCGCAATTTGGTTTGCAAAACCTTTTAAGACCGACTACGGCGACACCGACGACAACGACGACGACACCGACGACGTCTCTGACGACTTCGACGACGACACCGACGCCGACGACGACGCAGACGACGATGACGACGCCAACGAAGACGACGACGAGGGAGGAGGAAGGACGACGACGGCGACAACGACGACAACGACGAGGGAGGAGGGAGGACGGCGACGACGCGAACGACGAAGAAGGAGGAAGGACGGCGACGCCGACGACGACAACGACGAGGGAGGAGGGAAGACGACGACGACGACAACGACGACGACGACGACGGCGACGAAATAGGAGGGACGACGACGAGACGCCGACGACCGACGACGACGACGACGAGGGAGGAGGAGGAAGGACGACCACGGCGACAACGACGACGGAAACCACCACGACGCCAAAGAGGAGGACGACGACGAGCACGAGGAAAGACAGAGGACGACGTAGGCGACGACGACGACGCGGGAGGAGGGAGGACGGCGACGACGACGACAACGACGACGACGCAAGAGCGCGCGCGCACGCTTTTGTTGAAAATCCGTGTTGCGAGACCTTGTGTTTTGTATGTTTTTTGGACACACGATTTTTGAATTCCTTCCGAAACCGATGGGTTTTGAAGGTTTTCGGCATACGCGCGCGACGACGCGCGCGTCTGCATTTCGTTTTTTTGCAGAGGATTCTCGCGACGGCACACGCGAAAGGGCGTTCGACAGATTTCGACATGCGCGCGCGCGAAGCCCGTTTGGTAGAGTTTTGTGAAAATCTTGAAAAACCGATGGTTTTCTTAAGATATCGCAAGCTCGCGCGGAAGCTTTTGAAGCAACTAAGTGTTGCGAAACCTTGTGTGTGTTGTATGTTTTTGGAAACTCGATTGCGAAATCTTTCCGGCACCGAAGGTTTTTGAAGGATTTCGGCATGCGCGCGCGACGACGCGCGCGTGTGCACTTCGTCATTTTTGTTTTTTGTTGTGCAAGGGCTTTGCGAACAAGTGTTATGTGAGAACAAAAAATATCACCGCATTTTTAAAACTATTTTTTGAATAAACAAACCTCAGGGGGGAGACCGGTTGGCATGTGACATTCCGGTTTCATATTTAGGATGGACATGTGGTCAGAATCATACACGATGTACATACCCGAAAGGGGAATGATAACTCCGGCGGGGAGATCCTATTTTGTTTTCAGGCCACTCTGCCGAACTTGAAGTCGTCACCTCCACTGCTCGCGCAAACATCCCGCCCACCCACCCGCAGTGTGGTTTGCAAAACCTCTTAAGACCGACTACGACGACACCGACGACAACGACTACGACGACACCGAAGGCGCTTCCGACGACTTCGACGACGACAACGACGCCGACGACGACGAAGACGACGACGACGACGTCAACGAAAGCGACGACGAGGGAAGAGGAAGGATGACGACGGCGACAGAGACGACAACGACGACAACGACGAGGGAGGAGGGAGGACGGCGACGACGCGAACGACGAAGAAGGAGGAAGGACGGCGACGCCGACGACGACAACGACGAGGGAGGAGGGAAGACGACGACGACGACGACAACGACGACGACGACGGCGACGAAATAGGAGGGACGACGACGAGACGCCGACGACCGACGACGACGACGACGACGAGGGAGGAGGAGGAAGGACGACCAGGGCGACAACGACGACGGAAACCACCACGACGCCAAAGAGGACGATGACGACGAACACGAGGAAAGACAGAGGACGACGTAGGCGACGACGACGACGACGCGGGAGGAGGGAGGACGGCGACGACGACGACGACGACGCAAGAGCGCGCGCGCACGCTTTTGTTGAAAATCCGTGTTGCGAAACCTTGGGTTTGTGTAGGTTTTTTGGAGACGATTTTGAAATCCTTCCGAAACCGACCGATGGGTTTTGAAGGATTTCGGCATACGCGCGCGACGACGCGCGCGTCTGCACTTCGTCCCGTTTTTTGCAAGGGATTCTCGCGACGGCACACGCGCAAGGGCGTTCGACAGATTTCGATATATGCGCGCGCGCGAAGCCCGTTCGGTAACATGTTGTGAAAATCTTGAACAACCTATGGTTTCTTAAGATTTCGCAAGAGCTCGCGCGGAATCTTTTTTTGCAAATCAGTGTTGAGAAACCATGTGTTTTTGTATGTTGTTTGACACTCGATTGCGAAATCCTTCCGGCACCGGAGGTTTTTTGAAGGATTTCGGCATGCGCGCGCGACGACGCGCGCGCGTGCACTTCGTCTCATTTTTGAGATGGATTCGTGAACAAGTGTTATCTTAGAACCAAAAATGCCACCGCATAGTGTTGTTTACAAGGGACCTTCAGGGGGGGATACCGGCCCCCTGGGGATATTGTAAATTCATATTTAGGATGGACATGTGGTCAGACTCATATAGGACTTACATACCCGAAAGGGGGGGCGATAACGCCGGGGGGGTAGGTAGATCCGATTCTGTTTTTAGAAAGGAGAATAAAGGATAATTGATACGTCGGTCATTCTAGCATGTGGAAGCCTGCGCTCTGGCCCGCGGCGTTCGGCTTGCTTTTCGGTGGCGCCCCGCAGAGCTCAATGGCAGCGGCGCGGGCTCTCAGATCTACGCGACCCTCAGTGCGACCCCGCGAAGGACCTCGCCCGCCTCGTGGCTCAGATGCGGCCTGCGGAACTACCTGAGCCCGCGGGCGCACTGGCTCAAGGACGTGACTTCCCGATCGGGGAGGCCTTTCTTGACGCGCAAATCTTTTTCGACTACAATGGGGAGGGGCCGATGCCTCAGGGCCCCGCGGCCTTCGCCCCCCCGCCCGACGAAGGCGAGCCGCGCGAGCCCGCTGACACCGGCCCCGAAGGCTTCCTCACGGCCCGCGGCAGCGGCAGGTCCGACGCGGGCCCGAGCGCCGTCGCGCCGACAGGCCCTGTCCCGCTCGGGGCCGAAGTCGACCCGCCCCGAGATGGAGTCGCTCGAGAAGCTCTCCGACCAGGGGCTGGACTAGGCAACGGCAGCTGCAAGGGTCGGCGCCGCCGCCGAGTGCGCTGACGCGGGCGGCGATGGCACAAATTCGGACGACGATAGCTACGCTGGGGAACTTGACGCGTGGAAAGAGGCAGCGCGCCCGTCGATCAGCTCGGCGTCGTCGCAAACACCTGCCGCTAGCCGCGTCGTCGGCCCCGCAGTCCTCGGCGCTGGGGGAGATGGCGGCCCCTGTCCGCAATCAGAAGCCGCACCTGTGCGAGCTGCGGCGGTTCATGGGCTACGCCCGCGAAAGGCGACAGAGGCAGCTGGCCACCGCCGAGCCCGAGGAGACCAACGGCGCCGCAATGGCTCACGCGTATCGCAAGTTCCCCACGGGAGAGCAGGCTTTTCGCGGGGAAGAGCATGTCGCGGCCCTCATGGGTCGGGCCCCCGAGCGCTTTCGAGCGGGATTCGGCAAGATGCCCCGAGCCTGGCGCTGCCTGAAGGGATGGCGACGGCTCGCTCCAGAACGGTCAACGAAGCTTGCGCCGCTGCCAGAGCGGCGCGCCATCGCCGTAGAGTTCGCGAGGCGGGACGTGCTCGCCATCAACCTAGGCGCGACGATCGGGGCGAGATGCCACCTGAGCCCCTCGGAGCTGCTTGCCCTGGAGGCCTCGAGCCTGATCGCCACAGCTTCGCCCGCGCCGCAGTTCCGGGGCCCCTTTTTCAACCTTCGGGCGGAGTGAAGACTTGCAGAACAGTCGGCTCGGACTTGTCGCTGCCGCTCGTTACTCCCTGCATGCTCTCGTGGGTCTGCAATTCCCCCCGGGCCCTGAGGCTGCGCGGCGGCCCGCCGTGGCCCTTCGATTATGGGGCCTTCTAGGCCGAGCGCAAGACAGCTGCCGAGGTGCGGAATGCGCCCGACCTCGTGTCGTATCAGATGCGACATTCGAGCCCGTCGATCGACCGCCCATAGATGTTTGGCCGCCAGGGCGAGTGTTAGTCACGGGGCAGTTGGAAAAGTTGCGGGGGGCCCGTCAGTTACGAGAAATCAGCTCGTCTCGGGAACTTCTGGAACAACCTGCCCGCGGCCGCGCAGGTGCACGTGCGTCTCTGCGAAGGTCGCCCCGTCGAGTTCCTCTGGTCGCTCGAGCTTGCGCCGAGGCCGCAGCGCGTGCCGAGGTGAGCTCTGGCGGCTCGCCAACCTCTTCGCAGGCTGTGGGAAGATCGGCAGCGCCGTCTCCAGGCTCGGATTCTCCGCGAGGGCTGGGGGCGTCCTCCGCGGCCCCCACCGCGACTTGACCGATGAAAAGGTGCTGTGCTAGCCGCTGTCGGAGATTCGAGACAAGAAGCGCTTGGTGCCGCGATTGCATTGCCCTGCGCCTCGCTGGCGATCGCGCGAGACAGAACCTTCCAGATTCGGCCCCGTTCTCAGCCCCAGGGAACTGACCTTGCTCGCGCGTCGGATCCTGATAGAGCAGCTCTCAACGCAGGCAATAAATTGGTCAGCGTTCTTCTCGGAATCCATAGACACCTCAACTGTCAACTGACATAAAGTACCGTGGACTCTGGAACACCCTCGCGCTTCTCGCTCGTGGCACTTCCCAGAAGTCCTGGCGCTGTGCAGTCAGTCAGGCTCAGGCCGTTTGGTGTCTAACAGATTTCTGTCATTCGGGTGCCCCTTGGCGAAAAACGCGGCTTGCCCGTGGGGGCATTGCCGACGAAGATAGCGCGGCGTTGCATTGCGCATGCTCTGGGAATGAAGATGCGCCCTCGCGCGCGTCGCCGCCACGCAGAGCTGTCTGGCTGCGCTGATCAGAACGTGTCGCGGACGTCTCTTGCTCAGCCCTAACCGAGTCGCTGATCACCCAGCCTCGCGAGAGTTCTCGCTGCTGCCCAACGCGCCGCTTGCTCGTGTAATGCCTGTGGTCCTGCGAGGCCCAGTGCTGCATGGTCTGACTTTTCTTTTCTCGCTCCCTCCCCGCTTTGCTGCTGCTGCTCTGCCCCCGCTCGCGTGAACCCTTCAAGTCGGGAGCTTGGGATTGCCGTGGCGCGCCGTTTAGAAGATTTCGTCGCGTCCCAGCTGCGCATTACAACCCAGTCCAGATAGTAGCCGATGTTCTCCGCGTGAAAAACAGCTGTAGCATCAAGTTAGTGCGTGCGCGGGAGTGGTGTGAAAAGGCCTTCTCTGGGCGTCGTTCACAGGCTTGACACGTGGCGGTGCTTCTCCGCAACCGCTGGGACTCAAGTAGCAACGCGCCCTCTCGCTTCGTTCATGCTCTGCAAGGATTGTCATGACGTGCCGTTCAGAAGACTTCGTCGCGTCCCAGCTGCGTGTTAGAACCCAGTCCAGATAGTAGCTGATGTTCTCCGCGTGAAAACAACTGTCTCACCACTTATTGATTATGTTGTGCTCGAGATTTCTCCATCCCACAACTTGCACATTGATTGTGACGTTGTGAATGTTAATCGGTCAGCGAGTTCGCGCCGCTGGTGAAAAAAAGGCACGTGAAGCTACCGCGCGCATTGCAAACCACGGTTTGTATGTTTGGTGTGGTCGAAAGCGAACTTGTGGATGATATGGGATGGATGCGGGTCGATGAATCGGTACAGGCTGGCGAAACAACATTACACTTGGGTTTAACCTCCATAAAAATATGAAGACAATGACACCATATCTGGCCAACGCAGGGTGTGCCTGAACACAAAAAGCCGCCCCCGAACCTTAGAAGTCTAGCTTCGGCTTCTACATCTCCGCAGCCCTGGGCCACTCGACTAGTGCTTTGCCGACCCCGTGCGGCAGGACTGCATAGGCTTCGACGGCCGCTATCCGTGCTTCGGCCTTGTCTTTTTGCGGCGCGTGCTTGCGCGCCGCCTCTCCCGTGTGGCATTCAGTCGCTTTGCTGCCCCGGCCAGGCGCCCAGGTCAGCATCTGCCATGGTGGCTCAATCGCGATGAGCCTTGTGACTGCGCAGTGTAGCCCAATGGTGCGCTGGCAGACGTGTCCCGACCAACCTCCAGTATGCTACGAAACAGCAGCACACCCGAGAGGACGGAGCGTGGAGTTCGGATTCTCTCAGGAATGCTGCACAATCAGTCACGACCCGAGAGCGCCCCAGGCCCCAGGATGTCCGGAGTGGACGTGGCCGGGGCTGGGCCCGCGTTTCCGGCATGAGTTGGAGCATGGACGAAGTCCACTGGCCGGGTGGAGCACGCAGCCAGTGCCAGCTCCCGATGCTCATCTGGTTGGGCAGCCGCTGACCCTGTCCTGGCGTAGTGGGGATGGCCAGGTCCAGTGCCAGAACCGTCCACGGTAACCCTGATGTGTGGTTCTGAAGTTGCCATTGTCAACGGTCGCGTTTACAAGGCTTTTCTACGTCCTCCAGTCTTGGGCTGGGGCCGGGGAGGCGGCCCAGGGTTTCAAAGCCTTTGATGTAGTGGGTGCTGGCCGTCTTGCACCAACGCGTCGTCCAAATCGGGACCCAGTACGGCTTGTACCACCTGCCATACATGTGAGCATTGATATGTACAAAGGTTGCAGTTGTTCTGGCCAGCCGCAATGTCAAAGGCCAATACCCGCGTACCAAAATATTTATTCTCCGTAGATATAGAGGTGCAGCACACCTTCCTTACCGATTGCCGCTCACAGTGCTCGAGCTCCGCATGAGGAATTCGTTATCAAAAAAATTCTCACCATCCCTCCTTCCTCCCACCCTTCCTGCTCTCCCTCCTCCCCCTTTATCTCGGAAGAGGAACGATGCGGGAGGAGGCGACGGATACCCTGGATAGAAGGGGCTGGAAAAGAGAAGGAAAGGACGGACGAGGAGGCAGGGATGCCGAGGCGGAGGCGAAGGAGGAGGAGGAGGAGGAGGAGGAGGAGGAGGAGGAAACGAGGACCAAGGTCTGACCGCCAGTTGGCGTCCGCCCTAAGGCTTCCAGCCAGCGGAGCGGGAGCCCGCGCGCTTCCGTTTCCGCGCCGCGAGCCCCCGAGCGGGGCAGCCCGACGCGCGGGAGCTGTGTATGAATTGCGCCGCGGAGCGTGCTCCTCCCTCCTCCCTGCTCCTTGCTGCCTGCCCCCTCCTCCCGCCATCCTCCATTCTCCACCCTCCATCCTCCGTCCTCCGTGCCTTCCCCCGCCTGCCCCCTGCTTCTGCAGCTGCTGCCCGTGCTCCCCCCGCTCTTGTGCAGCAGCTCGGGGGCGGGGGGGCCGAGGAGGTGGAGGCGCTGGAGGGGGTGGATGAGGTTGAGGCGGGCACGGAGGCGGAGGCGGAAACGGCTGAGGAGGCGAATGTAGAGGGGGAGAAGGCGGAGGAGGAGGAGAAAGACGAGGAGGAGGAGGACGAGGAGGAGGAGGAGGAGGAGGAGGCGGATGAGGAGGAGGAGAAGGAGGTGGTGGAGAGAGTAGGAGAAGGGATGACCGTTCTGATGATGATGTTATTGATGATGATGTTGATGTTGATGCTGACGATGATGATGTTGATGTTGCTGCTGATGATGATGCTGATGCTGCTGCTTGTGATGATGCTGATGGATATGATGATGATGGTGCTGACGACGACGATGATGATGATACTGATACTGATAATGACGATGATGATGCTGGTGAGGAGGAGGAGGAGGTGGAGGATGATCAGGATGATGGTGAGGAAGTTGATGATGCTGATGAGGCTGATTATAAGGATGATGATGCTGATATTGATGATGATGGTCATGGTGATGATGATGATGATTATGATGATGATGAACATACGTACTGACGATATTGGTGGCGATGATGATGCTGATGATGATGACGGTGGTCGTGGTTGCGGTGGTGGTGTTGCTTCTGATGAAGGTGACGTTGATATTGGTTGTCATGATGATGGTGATGGTGCTGATGATGGTGATGCCAATGATGATGCTGATAATGATGACGTTGGTCGTGGTTGTGGTGGTGGTGTTGCTTCTGATGAAGGTGATGCTGATATTGGTTGTCATGATGATGGTGATGGTGCTGATGATGGTGATGGTAATGGTGATGGTGATAACGGTGATGCTGCTGATGATGATGTTGATATTGTGGAGCAGGAGCATGGTGATGCTGATGATGTTGATGTTGCCGTTGATGCTGACGATGCTGGTGACGTTGATTACGGTAGTGCTGGTGATGATGTTGATGTTGTTGATGTCGACGATGTTAATTAAGATGGCGATGCTGACGAGGATGACGATCATGATGATGCTGCTGCTGTTGATGATGATGATGATGCTGATGCTGATGACGATGATGCTGATGATGCTGATGCTGATGCTCATTCTGATGCGATGATGCTAATTTGACGGAGTTTCTGTGGAACTCACGTCATCCTCACCCCCGGCGCGAAGAGCACGAGCCCAGAGCGTTGCATCGTTTCCGGACAGATCCGGCGGATCCGCGGACGAATCCCAAACCGGCGCCCTCGCTTGAGACATCCCCACAAAACGGGCCCCGGGGGAAGTGCCCACAGGAGCCCACTTGGATCGGCGGGGCGTTTGCTATCTAGGATGGGTGGTTAGATCTTGGATAGGGTAGTTATAAGAAGATGCTATCCACTTTCTGTAACCTAGATCGGGGGAGATGGCTATCCTCCAGATCGCCTACTTATATCGTGGTTAGCTAACTCGTTTAGCGATTGCTATCTTGGGGGGCTAACCTAGTTAGCTAAGTTCGCTAACCTAGTTAGCAATTTGTCTTTCTTTGATTTTTTATGTTGGGATTCTGATTTTGACTTTGCATTTCCAGGAATCCAAACGGCTGAACGCGGTGCTGAGGCTTCAGGGGGAGGCCTTGAATGCAGGATTTCTTGGCTAATAGGGAAGCAACTAGGGAGACAGAACGAGGATGTGGGCACAGAAAAGGAAGATGTAGAGACAAAAAAATACGGAAATGAAGAGGAGGATCAGTATAGGATTACGAAATTGTTGAGAATTGCTATTTGTATGTGCTGTTATTGTTTCGTTGTTTCTACATTTGTTTTTTTAGTTCCGTACCCCCCCACAGGGTCGCAGCGTCATCCAACACACCTTTGTTTCAGGCGTTGGGAAAAAAAGAACCAAGGATTCTGAGCCGACAGGCGCTTTGGAATAGATGCAAGGCTCGACTATGCTACTTGTCAAAACACAAACAGCGTTGGCCTGAACTATACACCTGGCCTCGGACTCCCCGAA